GTTGGAATTAGGGTTAGGATTCTTTTCCAGCCCCGACCGCCTCAGAGACACGGACTAACCCCAGCCACAACCTTCACTCTAAACCTAACGCGAACCAATAAAACTCTAGAATTCTGGACTTTCCAGAGAACTCCGGGTTTTACCCTGAAGTCAAAAATACACTAAACCCTAAAGCTAAACCGAACTTTAACTAGCGCTAAATTTAGCTGCCCTAAATATAGTTATCAGGTTTGTTTGGGATGAATAAACATTTAAATTCACCAGAAGATTATAATTTTGTGACATAGAATTTGAAAACATTACTGCCATCTAGAAAAGTTTCTTCTTCGTTGTTTGACTAGCTGTCCGGTTGGCCGCGAAACAAAGTTTTCCCTGGTTAGGTGGGCCGCGAAAGAAAGTTTCCCAGTTTTAGTGGGCCTCGAAACAAAGTTCCCCTGTTTTGGTGGGCTACGAAAGAAAGTTTCCATGTCTTAGTGGGCCTCGAAACGAAGTTCCCATGTTTTAGTGGGCTGAGAAAACAAGTTTCCTTGTTTTAGTGGGCCTCGAAAAAAAGTTCCCCTGTTTTGGTGGGCCTCGAAAAAAAGTTCCCCTGTTTTGGTGGGCCTCGAAAAAAAGTTCCCCTGTTTTGGTGGGCCTCGAAAAAAAGTTCCCCTGTTTTGGTTGGCTGCGAAAGAAAGTTTCCTTGTTTTAGTGGGCATCGAAAAAAAAGTTCCACTGTTTTGGTGGGCCGCGAAACAAAGTTCCCCTGTTTTGGTGGGCTGGGAAAGAAAATTATCATGTTTTGGTGGGCTGCGAAACAAAGTTCCACTGTTTTGGTGTGCTGCGAAAGAAAGTTTCCTTGTTTTAGTGGGCCTCGAAACAAAGTTCCCCTGTTTTAGTGGGCTGAGAAAGAAAGTTCCCCTGTTTTTGTGGGCTGCGAAACAGAGTTCCCCTGTTTCGGTGGGCTGGGAAACAAAGTTCCACTGTTTTGGTGGGCTGCGAAAGAAAGTTTCCCTGTTTTGGTGGGCTGCGAAACACAGTTCCCCTTTTTTGATGGGCTGCGAAACAAAGTTTGCCTATTTTGGTGGGCTGCGAAAGAAAGTTCCCCTGTTTTGGTGGGCTGCTCAACAAAGTTCCCCTGTTTTGGTGGGCTGCTCAACAAAGTTCCCCTGTTTTGGTGGGCTGCGAAACAAAGTTCCCCTGTTTTAGTGGGCTGCGAAAGAAAGTTCCCCTGTTTTGGTGGGCTGCGAAACAAAGTTCTCCTGTTTTGGTATGCTGCGAAACAAAGTTCCCCTGTTTTGGTGGGTTGCGAAACAAAGTTCCACTGTTTTGGTGGGCTGCAAAAGAAAGTTCCCCTGTTTTGGTGGGCTGCGAAACAGAGTTCCCCTGTTTCGGTGGGCTGCGAAACAAAGTTCCACTGTTTTGGTGGGCTGCGAAAGAAAGTTCCCCTGTTTTGGTGGGCTGCTAAACAAAGTTCCCCTGTTTTAGTGGGCTGAGAAAACAAGTTTCCTTGTTTTAGTGGGCCTCGAAAAAAAGTTCCCCTGTTTTGGTTGGCCGCGAAACAAAGTTCCCCTGTTTTGGTGGGCTGGGAAAGAAAATTATCATGTTTTGGTGGGCTGCGAAACAAAGTTCCACTGTTTTGGTGTGCTGCGAAAGAAAGTTTCCTTGTTTTAGTGGGCCTCGAAACAAAGTTCCCCTCTTTTAGTGGGCTGAGAAAAAGTTTCCTTGTTTTAATGGGCTGAGAAACAAAGTTTTAGTGGCTGAGAAAAAGTTTCCTTGTTTTAGTGGGCGAAACTCCCCCTTTTTTAGTGGGCTGAGAAAAAGTTTCCTTGTTTTAGTGGGCTGAGAAAAAGTTTCCTTGTTTTAGTGGGCTGAGAAACAAAGTTCCCCTCTTTTAGTGGGCTGAGAAACAAAGTTCCCCTCTTTTAGTGGGCTGAGAAACAAAGTTCCCCTCTTTTAGTGGGCTGAGAAACAAAGTTCCCCTCTTTTAGTGGGCTGAGAAAAAGTTTCCTTGTTTTAGTGGGCTGAGAAAAAGTTTCCTTGTTTTAGTGGGCTGAGAAAAAGTTTCCTTGTTTTAGTGGGCCTCGAAACAAAGTTCCCCTCTTTTAGTGGGCTGAGAAAAAGTTTCCTTGTTTTAGTGGGCTGAGAAAAAGTTTCCTTGTTTTAGTGGGCTGAGAAAAAGTTTCCTTGTTTTAGTGGGCCTCGAAACAAAGTTCCCCTGTTTTAGTGGGCTGAGAAAAAGTTTCCTTGTTTTAGTGGGCCTCGAAACAAAGTTCCCCTGTTTTAGTGGGCTGAGAAAAAGTTTCCTTGTTTTAGTGGGCCTCGAAACAAAGTTCCCCTGTTTTAGTGGGCTGAGAAAAAGTTTCCTTGTTTTAGTGGGCTGAGAAACAAAGTTCCCCTGTTTTAGTGGGCTGAGAAAAAGTTTCCTTGTTTTAGTGGGCTGAGAAAAAGTTTCCTTGTTTTAGTGGGCTGAGAAAAAGTTTCCTTGTTTTAGTGGGCATCGAAAAAAAGTTCCACTGTTTTGGTGGGCCGCGAAACAAAGTTCCCCTGTTTTGGTGGGCTGCGAAACAAAGTTATCCTGTTTTGGTGGGCTGCGAAACAAAGTTCCACTGTTTTGGTGGGCTGAGAAAGAAAGTTCCCCTGTTTTTGTGGGCTGCGAAACAGAGTTCCCCTGTTTCGGTGGGCTGGGAAACAAAGTTCCACTGTTTTGGTGGGCTGCGAAAGAAAGTTTCCCTGTTTTGGTGGGCTGCGAAACACAGTTCCCCTTTTTTGATGGGCTGCGAAACAAAGTTTGCCTATTTTGGTGGGCTGCGAAAGAAAGTTCCCCTGTTTTGGTGGGCTGCTCAACAAAGTTCCCCTGTTTTGGTGGGCTGCTCAACAAAGTTCCCCTGTTTTGGTGGGCTGCGAAACAAAGTTCCCCTGTTTTAGTGGGCTGCGAAAGAAAGTTCCCCTGTTTTGGTGGGCTGCGAAACAAAGTTCTCCTGTTTTGGTATGCTGCGAAACAAAGTTCCCCTGTTTTGGTGGGTTGCGAAACAAAGTTCCACTGTTTTGGTGGGCTGCAAAAGAAAGTTCCCCTGTTTTGGTGGGCTGCGAAACAGAGTTCCCCTGTTTCGGTGGGCTGCGAAACAAAGTTCCACTGTTTTGGTGGGCTGCGAAAGAAAGTTCCCCTGTTTTGGTGGGCTGCTAAACAAAGTTCCCCTGTTTTGGTGGGCTGCGAAACAAAGTTCCCCTGTTTTGGTGGGCTGCGAAAGAAAGTTCCCCTGTTTTGGTGAGCTGCGAAACAAAGTTCCCCTGTTTTGGTGGGCTGCGAAACAAAGTTCCCCTGTTTTGGTGGGCTGCGAAACAAAGTTCCACTTTTTTGGTGGGCTGCGAAAGAAAGTTCCCCTGTTTTGGTGCGCGGTGAAACAGAGTTCCCCTGTTTCGGTGGGCTGCGAAACAAAGTTCCACTGTTTTGGTGGGCTGCGAAAGAAAGTTTCCCTGTTTTGGTGGGCTGCGAAACACAGTTTCCCTGTTTTGATGGGCTGCGAAACAAAGTTTCCCTGTTTTGGTGGGCTGTGAAACAAAGTTCCACTGTTTTGGTGGGCTGCGAAAGAAAGTTCCCCTGTTTTAGTGGGCTGCCGGTCAAGAAAGGTTGAGGAACACTGTAATAGTCGTTAGTGTACTTGCTTCTTAACGCTGCCTATACCATTCAGCACACTATACGTTCGTCAGTTAATTCAACGAAAGTATACTGTTAATTTAACCAAAGTATACTGTTAATTCAACGAAAGTATACTGGTAATTTAATTAAAGTATAATGGTAATTCAACCAAAGTATACAGTTAATTCAACCAAAGTATACAGTTAATTCAACCAACGTATACTGTTAATTCAACCAAAGTATACTGTTAATTCAACCAAAGTATACAGTTATTTCAACCAAAGTATACTGTTATTTCAACCAAAGTATACTGTTAATTCAACCAACGTATACTGTTAATTCAACCAAACTATACTGTTAATTCAACCAAAGTATACTGTTAATTCAACCAAAGTATACTGTTAATTCAACCAAAGTATACTGTTAATTCAACCAAAGTATACTGTTAATTCAACCAAAGTATACTGTTAATTCAACCAAGGTATACTGTTAATCCAACGAAATGACCAGGGCTTTAGACTGGCGGTGCACGACGGCACGCAGCACCAGTGACTTGTTAGGCATTATTTTCTTTTCCTTTAGGAAAAGAACTCTGCCTATAATTCTACAGTTTCGTATTTGGTTGTTACATTCACCATTTCTATCCAAATTCTTAGTCGAGCTCCTTCTATGTAACCCAGTGGTTTTTAACCTTAAGGGAAGGGGTGATTGCAGAAAGGGAGGGAGGAGGGGGGGGGGGCAGCATCACCCCTCTAGAAGAGCGCAATAAAGTTTTAAGGTGGCGTCAAGCAAGCTGAAAATGTTGTCCCTGTTCAGTTATATATCACATATGTTTAAAAAATATTTATAAGACAAAAAGCAGGCGATGTTGTTTAAAGGAACAGTTGGCAGATTTACCGTTAACCTGATAACAGAGTTTTTATTTGCAGGGCTTTCTGCCCAAGTGAACAGGCAGTTACTTGTGAATATAGTCGCTTTTTGTTTAATTAATTATTTCTGTAGTATGCATTTGCTGGTGTGTTGGGAAACGAGCAGAGAGTAGACTGGCCGGTTCTGCACCACTTAGATGTTGTGAGGGCCCTCTGTGAGCGAGTGAACAGTGCCGAGACACAGATAGATCATTACGGTCTGACGAAAATGCCGCTGCGTGGAGTTACCAGGGTATCTGGCCTGCCTACCTACCTACCTACCCACCTACTTACCTAAATACATACCTACCTACCTACCTACCTACATACCTACCTACCTAAATACATACCTACCTACCTACCTACCTACCTAAATACCTATATACCTACCTACCTACCTTACCTACCTTAGGAGCTAATTTTCCTAGGTAACATATCTCAATGCTAAGATGTACATTGTTCTATCCTAACAGATGCAGCTGGACGTTCTGACTGAGCTCTCTGGGGCTCTATCCCTCACCCAATGGTTACTCTTCTTCCTTGTCCTGCTCCTGCTCCTCAGCTATATCTACGCCACAAACTACCATGGGGTCTGGGAAAAGCACGGCGTTCCTGGACCCAAGCCCTGGCCCATACTTGATCATACTCTAGATCTTAAGAAGGGAGTTGATGCAGCTTTTCGAGAATGGTTTCAGAAGTATGGAGACACATTTGGCGCCTATGGACTCCTGCCACATCGCGCTACGTTGGTTACCAAAGACTTGTCACTGGTCAAACAGATTTTAGTTAAGGATTTCAACAATTTCTCCAGCAGGTAAGTTACCCTCTTAAGAACTTATTATTTTTATAACAAAGGATCGGAATGATGAAGAAAAAATTACTTATTAATTAATTTAGGTAAATAATTCGTGCATCAACTGTCATGCTGTCCCATTATATGTAGGGCTGTACCGAATAGGGATTTTCACTATTCGGCCGAATACGAATAGCGGGACCAAATATTCGGCCGAATACGAATACGAATAGTTTATCATCATTATCAGGTGCCTTGCTGACTGGCCTAGGCCTTGCCACAATCTGCGATCTCCTGCAGCATGTATTAGTTCGTGTGCTGACACACCTCCATGCCATGCAACAAAACAGTCAAGAATCTTCTCTCGTAGTCTTCCTCTATTCCTCCTTCCACAGATCTTTCCAGTGGTCCCCACATGTTCCATTTTCCCTCTTCTCATAACATGGCCGAAAAAAAAAAAATGACTGTCTCCTTCTGATGGTCTATGATTAGTTGTCTTCGGGCTCCCGCGTCTTTCAAAACCTCTTGGTTGCTTTTTTTGGATGTCCAAGGCATTTTAATCATTGTTCTGTAAAACCACATCTCTGAGGTCTCAAGAAATTGTTTGGCCTGCCTACCGATTATCCAGGACTCACAGCCATATGTTAAAACTGGATGCTGTACCACGCAACCGGGTTGGCAGTTGCTCCCGCTACGACAGACTTAGGCAAGAGCAACTGTTGTATTAATGAGAGAGTTATTTCAGTCAATCGCAGTGCGTGCAGAAACAAGTGTAAGGTAACCACTATTCGTATTCGGCCCGACCGCAAGTATTCAGCCGAATACGGAATAGTTATTAGGTCCACTATTCGGCCCCGAAGCGAATACGAAGCGAATATTCGGTACAGCGCTAATTATATGCCACATAAGGCTCAAATCTTTTTCTTCCTTCCGTTCTATCCTTGTGGAAATTTAAACAATAAACGCAATGGCAAAGCGGTCTTTAGCAGGATGTACAAGATTGTCACCAGTGAAAAGAAGGTTGTTAAAATGTTCCTAGATTCTATGTTGTTATATAAATGCGAAACATGGATATTAGGCAGACAAGCTCAACAACATTTACTAGCGGTAGAGATGCGGTTTCTGAGAAGAATGCAAAGAATCTCATGGATGGATAGAAAAACAACGAAGCAGCCTTCTTCAAGACAGACGAAAGTCGTAAACTTACTAGAACAATCAGATGTAGATAATTAATATTTCTTCTGGACATATTACTAGAACAAATGGACTTGAGAACTTGGTGACAACTGGCAAGATAGATGGAAAGAGGAAAGCAAAGAAATAAACTCCTGGATGCCCTGGCTAGACTGATGGTGCTAGAGGAAAAAAAAACACTGAACTGATTCCTGATTCTGGTGATCGTGGAAGACGGAGAAACATGACAGCCTACTCCTACCGGCACGGCACGTGATGATAGTCAGTGTCCTGGAAAGTAAAGGCGACTGGGGTGAAGCATCTCAAGAAACATTGAGTGCCAACTGGTCCTTGTAATGATATACTTTATGACGTTTTAGGTAAGTGATTAATAGTTAGTTAGCAATCAGGATTATCATCAATGCATTCTGAACAGATACAAGAGGGCTGCGATCTCCTTGGACAGATCCATAGGTGCCCCGATTCCATGAACAGATCCATAGGTGCTACGATTTCTTTGGACAGATCCATAGGTGCTCCGATCTCCTTGGACAGATCAATGTTTGTTGCAATCTCCTTGGACAGATCCACAGATGCTCCGATTTTCTTAGACAGATCTATAGGTGCTCCCATCTCCATGGACAGATCCATAGGTGTTCATATTTCTCCAGACAGATCCAAAGGTGCTCGGATCTTCTTGTGCAGATCTATAGGTGCTCCGATCTCTTTGGGCAGATTAGTACGTGCTCCGAAATCCTTAGACAGATCCATAGGTGCTGCAAACTCCTTGGACAGATCAATAAAAGCTTAGATCACATTGGACAGATTTTTCCATTAGTTTGCCGTTGCTCCCTGAACGGTCAGCTTTCGGTATCACTGTCAAAACCAGCGTAAGACAAATCCTCTGCAGCTGGGATCGAACCTGGCAACATGGCATTTACGAAGCGCGTTCGCAACGCCTAAGCCACAGACGCCACCATAGAAATTTCAAATTGATAACATGTTCTTTTCGTTTACACAAATAAGCAGAGCTGATTTTTAATTATGAAGGCATTAATTTGTAGTATGTATTTTAATTTACAATGAGAAAACACTTTTTTTCAGTTTGTTTGCAAACAAAACTTATAATAATAATAATAATAATAATAATAATAATAATAGCAATAACAAAAACAGCAACCAAAACATCTGTGTTGTGACGATGAACGTCCTACAGGATGTCCATTTCTTTCTCTTTGCTAACAGGATTCGGCCTCAGAAGTCGATGTCTTCCATTAAAGACGGGATTTCATCTGCAGCTGGAAACACATGGAGAAGGCACCGTCAGGTGACATCACCCATGTTTACTGGAGCTAGGATGAAACTGATAATGAACCACGTCTGTGTCAGCGCTGAGAACTTGACACACTTGGTCAAGCAGCACATGGAGAAGGGGGAGCTGATCCCAGTGAGGTTTGTCTGCTCGAAGTTCTCGGCGGAGGTTATTGCAAGAGTCGGCTTCGGCATAGCATCACACGAAGTATCCAAGGAAGAGTCAGAGTTCGCCGTGTTTTCGAGAAATTTTGCTAAAAGTACCAGACGTAAGGAATTGATAGCAACGTCGTGCTATTTTTTTCCTCTAATAGATAACATTCTAAGATTTTTCAAATTCGATGTGGATTTTGTCGATGAAACTGCTGATAATTATTTCGTTACAATTCTCAAATCAGCAATTGAAGAAAGAAAAGAGAAGAAAAGCGAGAGAGATGGTCAAAAAGCAAGGGATATGCTGGACTTCTTTATAGAAGCTGCAGTGGAAAATGAAGATCCTCGACTGAGGGACACAAATTCCAAAACTCTCAGCACAAAGGAAATTATTGGTAATTCTACATCTTTGATTATTGCGGGAGTGGAAACGGTCTCAATCACTCTTCAATCAATTCTCTATTGTCTTGTTCTGTACCCTGAAATACAAGACAAGGTTGTGGCTGAGGTCTTCAGAGTGGTGCCTCCAGGGGTGAACTTGGTTTACGAGCATTTGCAGGAATTAAAGTACACAACACAGGTTATCAACGAATGTCTGCGGTTGTTTCCGCTCTTCACCTCTCTTTATCGGTTGACAAACGAAACAAAAAAGTACAACGGAGTGAAAATTCCCAAAGGATGTGCTGTTCAGATTCCCACAGGGTTGATCATGAAAGACCCCAAACACTGGGTAGATCCCGAAAAGTTTGACCCTGACAGGTTCTCACCTGAAAATAAAGCCAACAGGGATCCGTTAGCCTTCATGCCATTTGGTTACGGGCCCAGGACCTGCCTAGGGATGCGACTAGCTCTGATGGAGCTGAAAGTGATTCTGGTTTATTTATTGAGGGAAGTACGGTTCACTTTATCAGAGAGGACGGAACCAAAAAGAGGCGAGGATATTAAGTTAGAAATGATCAGCAGAACTTTCGTACGGCCGGTCAAACCAGTGCTGTTGGAAGTGCATACGAGAGAGTGATATTTGTCAGCAAGCTTGTTAATATTTGTACATAGCAATTAGAACAAGAATCGCCATGGCAAAAAGTGGCCTTAGCAAGATGTGAAAGATACTCACCAAAAAGATGTCAATTGCAGTGGGGGAAAACAGAGTGTCAAAGTGCTAGATGTCAACTGCAGTGGAAAAAAAAAGTGTCAAGGTGCTATTAAATATGCGTGTTTGGAATGTGTGGTGGTCAGTTGGTAGACTGGTGAAAACTTTTTTGGAGGCTGCTGGGATGTGGTTTTATAAACGAATGATGAGAATACCCTGGACTGATAACAAGAGTAATAAGTATGTCTTCAAACAAACTGACTCACGAAGAAAACTGAGTGCCCACATCAGGAAAAGACGATCTACTTTGTTGGTCTTGTATTGAGAAGGAGAGTCGGCTCTGTGGCTAAGTCGATACGAACGCTTCATAAGGCCGATAGATAGGCTTAAAGTTCTGCATGCAAAGTCATATCTCAGAGTAGCTGCGGACAAGAGGCACCTCCTGCATGAAGCCCTGGATAAAGCTAAGGGTCACAGACTGAAAAGAGGAAAGTCTTGGATGGCGCAAGCTGAAGACACAATTCGACATGTGTGCAGGCTTGATAAATTTAGGCGAGGAGAGGAGCTGGTCAAAGTGTCCGATCATGTTTCAGACTTGTGTAGGGTTCTAATCACTTTGGGACGTGAGTGCAGGGACTGGCCAGCTGGTGCTGCAGAATCAGAAGTTCAACAAATGGTTCATGACAATTCCTGCCCAAGTGATGTGATTGTATATACAGATAGCACTGTAGTGAGGGGCAGACGAAGCGCATGGAAAAGGGGGATGGGGGGTGTTCATAGCAAAGGCGAATGGACGTCGCTTGGCGCAACAAAGCCTGGCATACATTACAACGTCTATTTTGAGAATAGAGGTGGAGGCAGTCGTGCTGCCTTCTTTTGGTTTGAGAATCAGCTGTACACACATGTCGTCATTGTAACTGACTCACAGAGCATGCTGAGAAAGGTGGAGACAGGCATGCTCCGTGCTGAGTGGTAAACATCACTTCAGAGGTCCCGGGTATTTTCTCCAGGTCACGCCGGTGTGTTTGGCCGGTTCTGCACCACTTGGTGGTGAACTGATATATGACAAGCTGGATGTTGTGAGGGCCCTTTGAGAGCGAGTGAACAGTGCCGAGGAACAGATAGATCATTACGGTCTGAGGAGAATGGCACTGCGATGAGTTACAAGGGGATCTGGCCAATGACTGACACTCGGGTGGGGGGCGAGACGGATATACAATCAGACTGTTACTGGTACCATCGGAATTTTAACTCTTCGCTTGCAGCTGAAGATGGGGACGGAGCGCTTATTGGAGTGTCCCGAGTGCTGTGATGTCGATTCTTAATTCAACGTTCAATATTCAACATTCATTCATAATGCCGGTATGCCGGGCTCGATCCCAGCTGCAGGCCATACGCCTTGCTTTGGTTTCGAAAGTGGTATCAAGAAAGCCGACCGTCCAGAGGCAATGGCAAACTACTGGACGTAAATTTGCCTAGAAAAACCACACAACAGCCAGGAGCTGTTAGGATTGGTTCTGCAACGTCCTGTAAAGGATACGCAACTAACCAATGAGAAAGAGAAAGCTGGAGAACAGTGGGAAAGGTGGAGGGGAGGGGAAGCAGAGGAAGACCGAGAGAAAAGAAGCTGGACATCATGGCATGGAGGATCATCTGTGCCAGAGTCGATTGAAAGTACACAAGACATCAGGTTGTGGATAGACATTACTATAGCAACACTCATGGTGTTCGAGAAAAAGAAGTTTGGCATAGACAATAAGAACACATACTGAAAAACATTTACTCGCAGCGGAGATGGGGATTCTGAGAAGCGTGTGAAGAATATCATAGACTTATATATAAACACACAATACAGTCCTCCTTGAGACAATTGAAAGTCGAAAGATGCTCAGAAAAATTACACGAAGTTGGGCCATGGATTTTGGGACATGTTATTTGAAGGAATTCTTCTTTGTCTTTTTCAGCATTCCCAGCCCTTGGCGTTCATTGCTGCAGATATCCCCCGCCTTCATTGATCTCTCTGGCTGGCTTTTTCTTTCCATTTGGTGACACTAAGTGTTTGCAGGTCTGTCTTGATATTATCTCTCCATCGTCTTCTTGGTCTGCCTCGTGGTCCACGACCATTCACTTCCCTTGTGTATACAGTTTTTACTTTTCTATCACCTGCAATTTTTGTCAGCATGCCGCAAGCATTTCAATCTATTCGCTCTCATGATACCAGTGGTCAGTGGTGATTTAAACAGATTATGAATTTCGTTGTTGCTTCTCACTCTCCATTCCCGGCTGTTTGCATCTTTGCTAGGTCCAAAGATTCATCGTAAGACTGTGAAAACCTGTAATAAGGCTAAGAAGGAATAGACTCAAGAAACTGGTAACCGTGTGCAAAATGGATAAGAAGAGAGTAAGGGCAAGGCAAAGAGATAAATACTTAGATTGTTTAGCCATTTGGATGGGACAAGACAAGCACACTGAACTGATCTATTAGTCTGGTGATTGTGAGAGAAGGGGAAGACATAGGACATGATTATGACGAAGATGACGTGTAGTAATAGGACAGGTTGTTAACATGTTTACGTGTCCTTTGGCAGATAATTCTCTATGTGTGTGTATTCCTAGGGCAGAACGTATATATATATATATATATATATATATATATATATATATTTAGTCGTAAGTAAAGTAAAGTTCCCTTTTCACACCTTTCGGCGCATCGGGCATATGGGCAGAGCGTCCAATATTTTTACAGACCATCAGCACTCTATGGGTAATGTGGTCAGCATTACGCCGGCTGTCTTTACTTTCCCAGGACAGCCCATCCTGGTACCCACTTTAGGCTGGGTCGACCTGCGACGTCCCACACCACGATAAAAATCCACGCAGCCTGCAGTGGGTTTCGATCGCGGTATGCTGGCTTACGAGTCGGACTCGCAACGCCTTAGCCACGGACGCCGCTATATTTAGTCGTACTCTAGGTTAAAGTTAAGACACAGCGAGAGGATTGACTTCACTGCACCGGGGTTTATCCCATATAGCTCGGTCTCTCTCTGCATAACGGCTAGCTCCCTGCCGAGAGCATCGCACATAGAACGAACTCCGTAGCTCCGGCGTCGATCCCGACGAATCTTCGTAAAAATTGCATTCTACGTGAATTGCATATGTTTAGATATCGTAGTCGCCCTCTGCTATGATACAAAGATGCGTACAAGACACATATGAATGATACAGGTATTGAAGTGGACTCGTAGACACATGAAACCGTGAACCGTCTTGTGTGGAGAGAGGATATCACGAATTGAATATGAATTAAAGAGAAATTTCTTGCAGAAGGGTTAAGAACAGAACGTCTGGAAAAGGAAAAAAAGACGTTAAGAATCTGCGTTCGCAACAGTGGTTCTAAAATCCAATGCTTTAATTAAAAGACTTTGCCTAACGCTACAGAGACCTTACATTGAAAGACTAAATCAACCAGGGTAAAAAAAGGGGTGGGGTGGGGGTGGGGGGGGGGGGGAGGTGAGTAGACGTTCTAGAAGGTATTCAGCATTTTCACATAGGCGTTTGTTTGATCAGGTTGCCACTGTTACTATTAGCATGTCGACTCTTCTTTGGCTACTGAGAAAGGAGACGGAGCACGTATGGGAATATGCTGAGAGCAGTGATGTCAATTCTTGATTCATTGATTCATTCATTCATTCATTCATTCATTTATTTATAATGTTAATGCGAGCCATTGGCTAAGTTTCCCATGCCCCCCCCCCCACCCCTTTTTCCACAATAGCAGAATATTAAATTTAGCTTGGACAGATCAGTTCTGGATAAGCCATTAGTTAAAGAAGCTACACTTTAGTGCCTAAGAATCTGCAGGGGCCTCTAGAAATTCTCTATACCTCTCTCCCTCCCCCAACAAATGCAGTTAATAAATAGTGTTTTAGACGATTATATAATGTCATTTGGTTCTTTTGTAATATCCTACACCCCAGATGAGTCACAGGACAGTCCAACATTTTAGAGGTTGGTAAGACTGGGTTTTCCGGCTTTCTGATGCTTTTATCGACACACAAAAAATATCTCTAACTGGCTCTAACCCCAACCCACCTACGTCCCACGAGTGAGTGCAGCCTAGGTCCTACGACTCATGAAGTTTAGGTCCCACGACTGCAGGCAGTCTATCTATTACCACCTGAAATATTAGACTGTCCCGTGACCTGTGGATTTTCACTGGTTGGGGTAAGATAAAGAGCACCTGTCATTTGTATTTTTTTTAACAAACAAGTTTTTTTATTACTTCGTTTACTAAACATTTAGGGACGCTTTATTTTGATTATCCCTATATTTAAAAGGCATAGATAGATATAGTCGGCCCTTATGGCTTAGGCGTTGCGAACGCGCTTCGTAATGTCAGGGTGCCGGTTCGATCCCAGCTACGGTCGATTTGTCTTGCGTTGGTTTCGACACTAGTACCGAGCGCTGACCGTTCATTGAGCAATGGCAAACTACTGAACGTAAAAGTTCCCTAGAAAAACCACAACAGCCGAAAAAAATGCTGGGGTTGGTTCTGCAACGTCCTGTAAAGGATACTCAAATAGAAGAAGATTGATATAATTAAAATATTTAATCTAAACATTATCTTTGTTTTGGTGAGATGTGACAAAGTAAACCCATATAGGAGAATCAGTACTACCTATTTCCTATGAGAGTTGAATTGTCAATGGCATATACCAAACCGGACATCTCAAATCGTGCTAGCGATTTATACCAGAGGTACTAACTGGGAAGGATAATAATAAGGCAAGGCATATAAGGCCCAAGGATATGGTATTAGCTGGTCAAAGAGGAAAGCTCTTTACTGTCGAACAAACAGAGCACTTCCATGACTAATCCGACAGCTTGTCCAGCTTATTCCAAAAATACTGGTTTTGCCTTTCTTTAAA